TATTCATCATTCGCAAGTGCTTGAATGAAGAATAAAAATTTATTCGTCATTCAAAATTGTTGGAATGATGAATGAAAGCTTATTCTTATTTTTTTTTATTCAATTATTCATTTTCCTGATTACGCCCATCCCTGCTGTGTGTTAAAGGTTGACTCTCTGCTGCCAGTGATTGCACTACGAAATGGTGTCATTAGATAAGGGCTTAAGGGGTACCCAGAATCCCCTATAAGAAAATCAAATTACATATTGGAATTAATCTGGTTAAACAGCATACCTAAATACACAGAACTTCGTTCTCCATTGCAGTACATCCTTTGCAAGATTTCTTTCAGTTCACTGTTTCCCCAAAGAAATGAATCGTGTGTTGAACCGGGAAAACGGCCGTCTACATACCGTATCACCATGTTGTGATCACAAGCCTGAAAAATATACATTATACAAATAGGAAAAAAGAATAGAAAAATTTTTAATTGAAACTTACAATCATTGCATTCAAACTGTAAAACCCTTTCCTATTTAAATACTGATGTTTTAATCGATTTGGTGCAACAATACCAACGTGCGTTCCGTCCACGCACCCGATGATTCCAGTTATACGAGATTTTCGGAAGAAAAAATGTCTAGCCCTTTGTTTCTCGTCTTCAGTCATTTGCATATTTATCCATTCATGACAAATGACGGTCTGGAATATCTCCAGTACTTCTTTTAAGACCACCGATACCGTTGCTTGTGCGAAGCCTAGTTCGAAATCGTTACCAACGCCCCTTTGATAGGAGACATCAGCGAAAAAGCGAAGGGCGCAAGCAAGCTTTAAAATTGGTGGTATTGCTGCGCTCCGGTGCATTGAGCATTGAGATTGAACGAGTCCTCCATTTTTTGCAACAGGAACATAAAAGCTTCCTTATTGATCCTGAAGTATGAAACAAATCTGGAGTACAAAATTACATGTTTATTTTTGATAAATGTGCAAACGGCATTCTACTTACAGCCTATTGGGCAGATCCATCAGGTTCGAATTATCTCGGATGCTGCGTCTCAGTCTTTGCAGGTTGGTTTCCTCCACATCGTACTCGTCCTCAAAAAATAAGTCCACACTGCTCATCATTTCGAATTACTTTTACTTTTATTACATTCAATCAAATTGAACTTTGTCTTTGAATTTACGTTCTTTTTTTGACATTTCACTTTCGTCGCTTTCTGTTTTTGGCGCTGGCAACATCACATTTTATGCGAACTAGTACATTCGCTAACCATAATGCTGGTCAAAAGGCGACTCGCCATTAAAAGTGATTCGCCAATTTTAAGCGATTCGCGAATGATAATAGGGGCCTAACTTCCACTATTTATTTTCAGATCATACATTTAATCTGGACTTCAGTGGCTAATATTGACTATTTAAATATGAGATATGCAACCCTGTGTTTGTACTAAACAACCAAGATTGATTGGTAGGTTATTTAATCAATGCCACCAAATCCCACCAAAAAACAATCAGCTGTTCAGCACAATATGTAAATAAATGTAACAGCAAATGTAACAACAATTTCAAGGAACAAGCGGCAGTGCTGCCAATTGTTTGGCATATTTAGGGCCGGTTGCTCAAAGCCTGGTTGACACTAATCCCTGGTTAAACATCGTTATCGAAGTTACCGACACCGTGTTATAAGCTTGGAGTCGAAAACGTCGATAACGATGTTAACCGATGATTAGTGTTAGTCAGGCTTTGAGCAACCGGCCCTTAAACAAAGTTGATCTGAAACCCAACGAAAGCTAAATGGCATTTAGGGCCGGTTGTTCAATGTCTGATTAGCACAAATCGGAGGTAGAAGCTCCGGTTAAGCACAACTACTGCTTTATCGATCACATGTTACATGCATGATGTCGAAATCGTCGATAGTGTAGTGGTAGTGATAACCAGACATTGAACAACCGGCCCTAAAACAACAATCCACAATTAAACTTAAGTGCCGTTTAAATATTTATTTGCAATTCGCCCTTACTGTACCTATATTTACATTGTAGCTCGGAAATATCGAGTGTTTGCCTGGGGAGTTGCAAATCGTCGACGACTGTAATGTTCTTCCTCTAGAATCTCTTGCTCCTCGGCAAGGGGTGGGAAATTTGCACATCAGCCGCGAAGACCGTCTTCGTTACCGTATTGTTTCCTAGCCATTGTAGCATCAACTTTTCTTCCTTAAGGCAAGTATGCAGCTCTCAAGAATACGGTAAAGAAAAAAATTTTTATTATTTCGTGTGTGCGTCCAAGGAATTTTGATATCTGATACTTCACCAGCCTGTTGCCTCACTTTTTCCTCAAAAAATAATGGAACGGGCATATATTTCTGTTGCAAGCCTTGTGCTCTTTTTTTCACAAAAAACTTTTGAACACCGTTGTAGAAAGCGTAGCAAATTTCTTAAGAACTGCATACTGCCTTAAGAAAGTTTTACACAAGAAAATTTCTTAGCCATTTCTTGTACGTTATTTTATATGGAATTTTTGCATTTCATGAGAGCTGCATACTGGCCTTTACCCTTCAGTCCCAGCCGGTCAGATAAGCTCTTGCTCATAAGCGATATTGATGATCCCTCATCCAGGAATGCGTATCATGCTATTTCCTTTCCGTTGGCACACAGCATCAACGAAAAAATTTTGAAAAGTACTTTAGATTTTCCTCATTGCTTCAAAGTGCTAGTAAAGATCGGCTCTCGCGAGTATTGAGCCTTACACCTTGAGTCGCGCCTACATGCGTTGTACCGTCCACATGCAGGAGTCCGTGGTTACGCGCAGGGCCTTTGTGTTTATACGTGCATCGGTTGCTTCTGTGGCCACTGTTCATACAGTTAAGACACAACTTTTCTTCTCGCACAACTTTCCATCTTGACGTATTGTTCATGCCGAGCAGACGCTCACATCTCGATATATGGTGTGCCTCCGTACACAGCTTGCATGAAGTGTGGTTACCGTTCGCAACTTCGTCTGAATGGAAAAATCTTCCTCGGGCTTCGGCCCTTACTTCTGTCGAACGCGATCGTGTATTTGAAACAATGCCGGCCGCGTTTACTGCGCGCGCTACTCTTTCAGCCAGTTGTTGAAATGGCTTATAGTGGACCTTGGTATCACGCTTACTGCGTAACGCGCCCACTCTAGACGCTGTTGTGTTGGGAGTTTAAGAAACAGATCCTCCATAAGAGTCGGGTTGCTCAAGTGATACTCACCAGAGAGCTGCTTCGAGTATGATCGTGCCTTTTTGATCTCGCGCCCCACGGAGCTGGAACAAAAAATAATTTTGACATGTCCCATTTCTCTTTTCCTTTTCACATCATCCTTTACATGTACTCCCGGAAACAGATAAGTTTTATAAAATGCATAAATTATGTGATTTGCCTACCAAAACCCCTTGGAAATCGCAACAAACCAACCAACCTACAAAGCCTTATTTTAAGAAATGAAACTACCAATTTTGGTCCAATTGTGCTGAAAAGACAACACTGATTTTTGGTCAATGTTCGGTGGGCATAATACGGTGTTCGCATGACGCGATTTTACAGACAATTTTAGAGGCGATTAGTTGAATCAAAAGTTGGCTGCACCCCAACTTCATTGGAAGCGATTAGTTGAAAGCCCGTTCACACCAGGCGATTGTTACTTTCAACTAAAAGTTGCATGTAAATCTAAACTGTACCGGTACCACAAAACTAACTTAGAGTTTACAACGGACAATACTGTCATGACAATAGCAATACATGTATGCAGACTTTTCACTAATACATGCATACTTCTTCAATTGTCTCAATCACTGTCTTGATTATTTTGAAGACAGTAAATCGGACAATGATTTGGCTTTTGCAGACAATAATTTTGACGTCTTGTGCAAGAAAGAAGAGAAACTCATAACAAAATAACTATAATAATTAAAGAGACGCTGGTGTGTAAGTAGTTTTGTCTCTTTTTTTTATTTTTTAGCTTTTATCTCAAATAGCTCCCGTGAAATGCGTATTTATGCAATTTATGATTCAATGTTCACCTTCGACATTTTGCTAAAAATAAATTGTCTTCACTATTGTCAGGACGCCTACGCCACGGAGACAATTATCAGCGTTTTTCGACAACTAATACATATTTCTTTATGCAGCATTGTCCACTGTAAACGCTCCGTAATTTGCAAGCATGAACCAAAAAGACAGTCGGTCGTTCATGATCATGGCGGTCGTTCATGATCTCAGTATATCCAGTAAAAAAACAGTGGTGAAGTCCTTTATGGGGATAAAGTTTCCAGAGGTGAAATTTTTGGCACCACAAAATTTCTTACACGCACGGTCGCTTTTCAACACTAATGAAATAAACTTTAGAATTTATTAGAACAAAGTTTCGTTTAGTACATCAATTTTACGAATAAACACAAATGTACGGATTTACTTTAATAAATAAATATCAAAGAAATTTTAAAGCCACCGTTTGATGACAAATTTGTTACAAAATAACATTGCTTATCGGAGCGCTCTAAGCGCTACCGCTCAAAAGTTGCTTTTCATACAAAAGCACCCCTGGCCCTTGTTTTTGCTGTATCGGAGAATTTACATTTCAAGCAATTTGCTTGTGTCAAAAGGTAAACAAAGAAAAAAGTAAGTTATTTCCCAAATTTATAAATTTGTTTGATGTTAATATATTTATTTTAGGTACATTCCAAGATGAAAGTTTCGTGAAAATTTTAGCACTCGACATTAGGGCATCTTTCATGGAATTCAAGAGCTTCATATTTGTACTGCGCCCTAGATTAGCATTTTACTTGCATTGCAAAATATTTCACATATATCGCTGCATAAATATTATATCACACCTAATAAGTGAAAAAGTATACTTAAATTGTAAAATAATTCAATTCTATTGCAAAACGTATACAAATTCACGCTGTTGTGTTGGTTTTCTAGCTCAATAAAGGCCTGTATGCAGTTCTCAAGAAAAGCTAAAATTCCATACAAAATGACGTACAAGAAATGGCTAAGAAATTTTCTTAAGTCAAATTTGCTACGCTTTTTACTACAGTTTTCTAAAGTTTTTTGTGAAAAAAGGGGACAAGGAAACCCAGGTTTGCAACAGAAATTTATGAACGTTCCATTACTTCTTGAGGAAAGAGTGAGGCAACAGGCTGTGTAGTATCTAAAATGTCAAAATTTCTTGGACACACACACGAAATAAGGCCTGTATGCAGCTCTCAAGAAAAGCAAAAACTCCATATAAAATGACGTACAAGAAATGGCTAAGAAACTTTGTTGAGTCAAATTTCCTTAAGGCAGTACGCAGTTCTTAAGAAATTTACTACGCTTTCTACTACGGTTTTCTAAAGTTTTTTGTGAAAAAAGAGCTCAAGGCAACCCAGGTTTGCAACAGAAATATATGCCCGTTCCAATATTTCTTAAGGAAAGAGTGAGGCAACAGGCTGTGAGGTATCAAAAATGTCAAAATTCCTTGGACACACACGCGAAATAATGGCAATTTTTTCTTGACCGTTTTCTTGAGAGCTGCATACAGGGCTATAATTGCAAATTTTTCTTGACCGATTTCTTGAGAGGTGCATACCAGCCTTAATAATGCTCTCAGTGGTGCATTTTATGCTTACGAAAATCTGGGATGATGTTCTCCAAAATTAGCTCCGAGCAACTTAAAGTGAAATACCTTCTTACTGCTTTTGTTAAATAAAAAAAAAATGGTTAAATTCCAGAATGGTAAAATAGAATTACGAATGGAATAAAGAAAATAAATATTTATTTATTTTTATCACGAATATCCTGTCGGTATTAGGAATGTTCGATATCGTATCGATTTTTCTGAATATCGATATTTCATCGCACGGTAATCGATTTTTTGAATCGATATTCCAAGGTCGATATATCGAAGACATCGATACTTTACCCGCAATATCGATATTTAAGTTGAAATTTATTTTTCATCTACAAGGAAGTGTATGGAAAAATACTAAAGTAGGTTTAAT